TCTATGGTGAACATCTTTATATGAATACCACCTGCCTATAGTGACCACCTCTATATGAATACTACCTGCCTATAGTGACCACCTCTATATGAATACTACCTGCCTATAGTGACCACCTCTGTACAAAGACGACCTCTATATAAAGACCACCTGCCTATAGTAACTACCTCTATATAAAAAATATCACCTGCCTATAGTGAACATCCCTATATGAATACCACCTGCCTATAGTGAACATCCCTATATGAATATCACCTGCCTATGGTGAACATCTCTATATGAATACCACCTGCCTATAGTGACCATCTATATGAATACTACCTGCCTATAGTGACCACCCCTGTACAAAGACCACCTGCCTATAGTAACTACCTCTATATAAAAAATATCACCTGCCTATAGTGAACATCCATATATGAATACCACCTACCTATAGTGACCACCTCTGATGAATACCACCTGCCTATAGTGAACATCCCTATATGAATATCACCTGCCTATGGTGAACATCTCTATATGAATACCACCTGCCTATAGTGACCATCTCTATATGAATACCACCTGCCTATAGTGACCACCTCTATATGAATACCACCTGCCTATAGTGACCACCTCTATATGAATACCACCTGCATATAATGACCACCTCTATATGAATACCACCTGCCTATAGTGACCACCTCTATATGAATACCAACTGTCTATAGTGAACATCCCTATATGAATATCACCTGCCTATAGTGAACATCTCTATACAAAGACCACCTGCCTATAGTGACCACCTTTGTATATGTAGACCATCTGCCAATAGTGACCACTTTTAGGCAGTTCCATGTCATAAAATTCACCTTTTTGCAGACCAAAATAATCTAACCTCTTTTGGAAGATGACCTATTTAATGACTGTATACATAAATGTAATTCTAAGCATTGAGACTATGAAGTAGATGACAACAACATTGGTAAGGAGTGTTTGATGGGTGTTTCTCTCAGCAACTGTTCTCATAAAAACCAAAATAGTAGTTTATAAATAAATAAAAACCAATTCAGTGTTGAATTCTTCGTCATTGCATCGGGGTTGTAATTACATCTCATTTTTTTTTTATTGCAGAATTATTTTTATCCTGGTGCTAAATCACAAATGGATATGACAATGAGCATGACAGGCAGAGAAAGAAAAGAGTACAGTAACTGGAAAGCAGAACGTGAACAGATAGATAATGAAAGAATACTCAGACATAAAAGACAGTCTGGTGAATGGAAGAGAGAATGGGATAGGGAGAAAAATGAGTAAGTTCTTGATTATTTGATATGAGGTGTACTAATTCTCAAAGGTTGTAACATGACATATCCATTGCTATTGTGACATACCT